AGGATCAATATTTCCTGGTCCCACCCACTCACCTCTCTCTTATCCACACCCAGAAACATGCAGGTATACCTCAAAATTCACTTTATATTCCCCACTTCCCCCTCCTTGAGCTTCTTGGATATCTCCGTCATCAGTTTCCAGTACGACGTAAATTCCAGCTCCCCGTCACTGTCGGTCCCCAAGCTTCTCATCTTCTCATCGAGATCGCCAGTATCCTACAGAAGAGGCAAGAGGAACAGAAAGCTCAGAAACAGTCAGTGAGAGACTGCCTCTCTCTGGATGGATTCAGCTGAATAAGAATATGAATTTTATTAGGACTGAGCATGCTCCGTGGCGATGGAATGCTGGCTGACCGTATAGGAGGGAAAGTTGTGGAAATGGAATGGAATATCTTCAGAAGGGCGTGGCTGGCTGGCTGGCTGGCTGGCAGGAGCAGCAAACAGGAGCAGTTCCCACCGCCGCCATTTTGTTGCAGGAGCCATTTGTAAAATCATGCAAGACATGGAGAAAAAGGAGAGGGAATTATTTCCCTTCTCTCTCCTCCTCCTCCTAGAGCTCAGCATCTGAGCATCCCTATTCTCCCAAGCTGGTTGCCTTTGGCCCCGCCCACCACAGTGATTTTGTTGTTGTTGTTTAGTCATTTAGTCGTGTCCGCCTCTTCGTGACCCCCTGGACCAGAGCACACCAGGCACTCCTGTCTTCCACTGCCTCCCGCAGTTTGGTCAAACTCATGCTGGTAGCTTCGAGAACCCTGTCCAACCATCTTGTCCTCTGTCGTCCCCTTCTCCTTGTGCCCTCCATCTTTCCCCAAATCAGGGTCTTTTCCAGGGAGTCTTCTCTTCTCATGAGGTGGCCAAAGTCTTGGAGTCTCAGCTTCAGGATCTGTCCTTCCAGTGAGCACTCAGGGCTGATTTCCTTCAGAATGGATAGATTTGATCTTCTTGCAGTCCATGGGACTCTCAAGAGTCTCCTCCAACACCATAATTCAAAAGCATCAATTCTTCAGCGATCAGCCTTCTTTATGGTCCAGCTCTCACTTCCATACATTGCTACTGGGAAAACCATAGCTTGAACTATATGGACCTTTGTTGGCAAGGTGATGTCTCTGCTTTTTAAGATGCTGTCTAGGTTTGTCGTTGCTTTTCTCCCAAGAAGCAGGCGTCTTTTAATTTTGTGACTGCTGTGACAGTGATACAGCCCCCCAAAAGTTGACTGGAAGGAAATGTGGCCCTAATTCAGAAAAAAGGTTCCCTGGTCTACAAAGCTTCCGAAATGAGAAGTCAACGGTCCCCATCTTTTTCTTCGTCTTAAACAGCAAAATACTTTTGCTTTCACTTCTTTTGACCTAAAAAATAGTGTCCCTTCGCCCTCCTGCCCTTTGACCCCAACCTACCTTCATGAAGTTAGGGAGCTGCTTGTTCACAAGCGCCTTGAACTGGCTGGCCGTCAGTGTCTCCTTCTTGCCCTCAGCGGCCGTATGGACCAATAAGATGCTGACGATTTTATCAATGGCCATCTTCATTTCTGATACATCCTTGCTGGCCATCTTGTGACTGAACGCTGTTGGGCTTCTTCTTCCCTTCCTCGATGAGGCTATTGGTCAAGGAATGGGGATTGTGTGGGGGTGACCCTGTTGTGTAAGACCGGCTCTGGGAACAGAGTGAGGGAATGCGAGGGAAGAGAAGAAGGGAAAAAAGCATGGAGAGCAGCAAAATGCAGGGGCGGCGAGTGACTGGTGCTTTTGTGGGATCACAGGATTGCCGAGTTGGAAAGGTTAATCCAGCCCAACTGTCTGTGAACGCAGGAATCACAGCTTTTGACAGCTTTTCAGAAGAATTTGCCACATTCCCACACACACATAAAGATAAAGGAGCCCCTGACCATTAGGTCCAGTTGTGGCCGACTCTGGGGTTGCGGCGCTCATCTCGCTTTATTGGCCAAGGGAGCCGGCGTACAGCTTCCGGATCATGTGGCCAGCATGACTAAGCCGCTTCTGGCGAACCAGAGCAGCGCATGGAAATGCCGTTTACCTTCCTGCCCGAGCGGTACCTATTTATCTACTTGCACTTTGACATGCTTTCGAACTGCTAGGTTGGCAGGAGCAGGGACTGAGCAACGGGAGCTCACCCCGTCGCGGACCTTCTGATCGGCAAGTTCTAGGCTCTGTGGTTTAACCCACAGCGCCACCCACATCCCTTCACACACGCATACACACTCCCTATAGCAAAGCGGGGGAGATCAGCCTTTGTCACAAGCTGAAATCTTGCCCCCTCCCCTCCAAAAGGATTGCCACTCACCCCAAAGGCGGTCACTTGCAAGCTTTGAATGCCAGCGAGGGAGCAGTGTGATGGTTATCATACAGATGAGGGCAGCTTGAATCAGGCAGAGAGCGAAGGGTGTTTTGTGTGTTCAAAGGTTCTGGGCCAACTGCCTCCTTGCTTGCCAGGAGCCATAAAGCCCAACTTCCACGCTGCCAGGCTAGCCACACACACACACACACACACACACCATTTATTTGTGTGCCAGTTTAGATACCCAACCAAGGAAGGGAGAGGGGAGCCCAGCAAAAACAGCCCAGGATCTCATGCATGCCCACGTTTCAAAAATCTTAAATTCTCACCGTTAGTTAAAAAACCAGAAGCTTTTTCATTGAGTATTTTGGGACAAGAGCTGCTGAAAGAAAAACGGACATTATTTATGTATGCTACAACAGCAACAAGAATGTTAATTGCACAAAATTGGAAGACCGGAGAAGTACCAGCCAAAGAGCAACGGCAAGAAAAGTTGATGAACTATGCAGAATTCGCAAAATTAACGGGCAAGTTGCGTGAAAAAGACAATAGTGACTTTGAAAAAGAATGGGAACCCTTTACAACGTATTTGCAGAAACAGCTAAAAAACGTGGACTCACTGGCAGGATTTAAATAAACATTTACATCTTTATTTACAGAAAACAAGAAGTATAACAATGGGAAAACATGGTAGATTGTATCATTTGATGTAATAAACCAGAAATGGAGGTTGAGGGAAGTCAACAGGGAGGGGGGAAATTGGAAAATGAATGTTTAGTAATGATGATGGATATTTGTTACAAGAAAGAAAATCAATAAAAAATTAATAAAAAACAACATTCTCGTTGTTAATTCTTCTTATCCATAACTTTATAGTTTCCGCTTTTTCGTAAACTGCTTTGAGGGAAAGGCTTTCCTTTCTTTCTTTTTGCAATCAAGTGTACAATTTATTTATTTTTTGAAATAAAGTCAGTAAATAGTTCCAATCCTCCGAACATTGGCCAGGTGCCCGGGGCTGAAGTGATTTGTACTCCAACCATGGCTGAAGTTCCGCAGCTACCCTGTCCCTATTCTGGAGGAGAACCAGAAAGGAAATATTTCAAGATCCTGGAAACCTATCAAGGACAAAAGCTCCCCAAACCACTGACTGAAGGCTAAGTTGTTGTTTTGTTGTTGTTGTTGTTTTAGGTGGTGTAAAATATGCTTTTTTTAAAAAAATGAATTAAATACATCCTGACTGCTCTTTATCCACAGACCCTCCAAGTGCCCCTATTTAGAGAAGCCGTCCTGTTTTCTCATTTGATCCCAGAATGTCCCACTTTTCCTTAGGATGTCCCTATTTTCATTGGAGAAATGTTGGAGGGTAAGGAGTTATGCGACCCCCAAGCCAAGGAGATAAGTAACTATACAACCTGTAGAAGACATCTGAAAGCAACCCTGTATAGGGAAGTTTTTAAAAGTTTGACGTTTTATTATGTTTTTATTTATGTCGGAAGCCGCCCAGAGTGGCTGAGGCAACCCAGTCAGATGGGTGGGGTATAATTAGTAAAGTTATCTTTATGGAATGGGATGCCCCTATTTTCCTTAGCTCGGGTTACATACGCTTCAGGTTACATACACTTCAGGTTACAGACTCTGCTAACCCAGAAATAGTGCTTCAGCTTAAGAACTTTGCTTCAGGATGAGAACGGAAATTGTGCTCCTGCAGCGCAACAGCAGCAGGAGACCCCATTAGCTAAAGTGGTGCTTCAGGTTAAGAACAGTTTCAGGTTAAGTACGGACCTCCGGAATGAATTAAGTACTTAACCCGAGGTACCACTGTATTAATTTTAATTGGAAATTTTATTTACAACATAACATAACCCCCCACCCCCACCCCCAATACAGAAACACAATAAACATAACATACAACAATACAAACAACCAAATAAAAGACTTCCTTTATCCTGTATCTGGCCTCCTTATTTACTTCTTATAAGCTGTTTCCTTTATGAATAATTAAGATTTTTCTAATTATAACTTAAATATCCACAAAGTCTCCTGCAGACATTAATCGAAACAAGTCCAGGTATGTATTTTAGGGCACTGTTTTGTGACGTATTCTCTGCATTTCCCCCATGCTTTTTGAAACTCTTGTCTAGTGTGGTCTCTAATTGCCTCTGTTAATCCAGCCAGTTCAATATACTCTTAACGGTTTGTCTTGCCGTTCCCTTTTTGTTGGCACAATTTCTTTTTTCCAGTTTTTAGCAATCCTTGCCGCTCCTGTGGCATAGAGGAATATTTTCTGATCTTCTCTTGCTATACCTGTGTCCGTTATCCCTAGTAGAAAAGCTTCTGTATTTTTGATAAAGTTAAACATTTTTTTAAGCTCATCATATACTATATTCCAGAAGCTTGTGATTTTTTCACAGGTCCACCAAACATGTATAAGTGTCCCCTCTGTTTTACCACACCTCCAGCACAGATTTGTTTTTGTCTTATACATTTTGGCTATTTTTATGGGAGAAAGGTTGGAGGGTATGCAGCCATACTTGCACTCTGTCACGGAGTGATACTCCGTCTCTCCTGCGAGAATTACAAGATTCTCTGATTTTGCAACTTTATGGCTTTCTTCATTGCTCCCTGATTCTGGTGTCAAGTGAGTTGCAGAGATTAACCTGGAGGAACGCCCCTGGAACAAAGAGCAGGGAGGGATTTTTTCTCTTTCAAAGGAAGTTGGAGCCAGCCTCATGGCACAGGTGCTGGTTGAGAAGTTTGAGGCGCCCAATCTCCTCTAGCCTTCCTCTAGCAAACGCTGACGAGACAGACAGACAGACAGACAGACAGAGAGACGGGTGCAGGAGTCTTTGGCCGACGTAACGCACACCGCACAAACCGCCATTCTGCAAGGTAAGGAAACGTCCAGGAGGTGGCAGCCCATTTGCTTATCAGGTAGGTGGGGAAAGGCTTCCTTTAGAGGACCCTATGACAAAAAGCTAGGGATGCGGGTGGCGCTGTGGTCTAAACCACAGAGCCTAGGGCTTGCCGATCAGAAAGTCGGCGGTTCGAATCCCCGTGACGGGGTGAGCTCCCATTGCTCGGTCCCTGCTCCTGCCAACCTAGCAGTTTGAAAGCACATCAAAGTGCAAGTAGATAAATAGGTACTGCTCCGGCTGGAAGGTAAACGGCGTTTCCATGCGCTGCTCTGGTTCACCAGAAGCGGCTTAGTCATGCTGGCCACATGACCCGGAAGCCGTCTGCAGACAAACACTGGCTCCCTCGAACTGTAAAGCGAGATGAGCGTGCAACCCCAGAGTTGTCTGCGACTGGACCTAATGGTCAGGGGTCCCTTACCTTTACCTTTATGACAAAATGCTAGTCTTCTTTCCATTTAGAACATAGCTAGGAACCTCTTGAGCAGTAGGATGTGCCTCCCTAGGCCTTGGAGGAGCAAGCACACATAGTTGGACCGCTCCACAGCTAAAGTCCAGCTGATCTCTGTCTGATAATACCGACGGGACCAGGGCCGGATTTAGGTTTGATGAGGCCCTTGGGTTTGTCCACAGACAGCTTTCCGGGTCATGTGGCCAGCATGACTAAACCACTTCTGGTGCAGCGGAACACCGTGACGGAAACCAGAGCGCACAAAAACATCATTTACCTTCCCGCCTTCTGACAGTAAGAGCTGTTCAACAGTGGAATCGTCTCCAAAAACCCTGGAGGTTTTTAAAGAAGCGGTTGGAGGGCTATCTCTCAGGGATGCTTTAGCTGAGATTCCTTACTCTATATTTCCAGCAGGAAGAATGAGAAAGCCCATTTTTCTATGTTTCTTTGTTTCACAAAAGTTTATTCACCACTTGACTGTTTGTTTGTTATTTTTAAAAAAGTCAAATCGGTTTACAAAAAATAAAATAAAATCACCAATAATAATTAACGGTGATAATTTAAAACTTCAACAAATTAAATCCAGGTCAAATTTTGCACCAACTTTCTTAACATGTAGGTAGGTGTCAGAGTCGCTTCCAGATCCTAGCTCACAGAGGATCACGCTAGCCAGCGATCATTAAAATAAAAGTCTTTATTGAGTTACAGTTTCCATTCTCAAGCTGCTGCGTGCAACTCTACGTCTTATGGCTAGACCGGCGAAGCTCCGTCTGAATCTCCGCCCCCTGTACACCAACTTAACACCCTAGCCTTACTCCACCTTTTCCGCCTGACTGTTCTTCTCTGGGTCCCTCTGCCCCCCTGGGTCTCTTCCTTCCGGGACTCTTCTGACGCTGACCCCCCGGACCCTTCTGTCTCCTTGCGCCGGGCTTTAGGACCTGGCTCCCTTTCCGGGCTGCTCACTGCGTCACCTTCCTGTGCATTTGAACTTGGCGCGCGCGCCCAACCTGCCACTTTCCTTCTGACCGTTTCTTCGCTCCCCGATGGAGGTGTGGCCACTCCTGACTCGTGCCCTCCCCCTTGTTGTGAGCTGCCAGCGCTCGATCCTTGGCGCCCTTCCTCTTCCCTGCTCTCTGGCGGTGACGCTGGTCCCGATTTCCAACTGCTCCCCTCTGAGTCCCCTCTGGCTCTATCTTCCTGGGGTGTCCCCCTAGTCTCCCCCTTTGCCCTGGCCACTGGTGCTCCTTCCTGTGAATCGTCTGATTCACTGGAAAGACTCGGAGATCTCGGGTCGTCGTCATCACTCATTTTCTCCTCTGCCTCCTCCCCCTCGCTCTCTGTTTCCTCCCTTGCCCTTGCCTCTGCTCCTGAACCCCTGACAGTAGGCTTGTCAAAGGTCAGCATGATTTCAGCAGGTGCCAAAAACAGAATTCAGAGATAGCAAAAGGCACACTAAAATATTGATTTCTTCCAAAGAAGGAATGGGTCTTATGTGGCCCCACTTGCCTGCCGTGGGGCAAGGCGATCTCGCGGGTGAACTTGTCCCAAGTTGTTAAGGGCTTTATTTACTACTAACAGCAACACCTTGAACTTGTCCCAGCTTGTAGCAAATCAGCAGCCGGTGCAGTTGCCTTTGAGCACAGGATATTCTGATTTTGCAACGGCCTTGGTCTCTGACTTGCTTCCTGATCCCAGTGCCAGGTGGGCCGTGCAGTGCTATTCAGAGGAAAAGTCCCGAAGGGAGTGTCTGGGGAAAGGGGGGTGGGAGGGAATGTTCCTCTTTAAAAGGAAACGGGAGCCGGCCTCGTGACGTAGGTACCTAAACTGGAGCTGGGAGGTGCTTAATCTCATAGAACCCCCCCACTCTGACAAAGCACTGGGGGAACAGGACTGAGACAGACAGACAGACCCAGATTTCTTTGGCCAACACGCCACACACTCGGCAATTGTGCGAGGTAAGGAATGTTCAACATGCCGCTGTCCGTTTGCTTATCGGACGGGCCCGAAAGGGTGAAATGCAAAACTTTCTTTCAAACTCTGAGCAAAAGGACGTGTCTCTGCAGGCCATTGTCCCGCCGACATGCCAGAGAAATGACTCCACAGCAGGGAAAACATCTGGTATAAAAGAGGCGGGAGGGAGGGGGAAGGAATCGGGAACGAAGAACTCAGATCTGGTGTTTGGGGAAGGGTCTTGCCAAGCCAGGGATGAGTTAAACCACAGAGCCTAGGGCTTGCCGATCAGAAGGTCGGCGGTTTGAATCCCCGCCACAGGGTGATCTCCCGTTGCTCAGTCCCTGCTCCTGCCAACCTAGCAGTTCCAAAGCACATCAAAGTGCAAGTAGATAAATAGGTACTGCTCTGGCGGGAGGGTAAACGGCGTTTCCGTGCGCTGCTCTGGTTCGCCAGAGGCGGCTTAGTCATGCTGGCCACATGACCCGGAAGCTGTACGCCGGCTCCCTCGGCCAGTAAAGCGAGATGAGCACCGCAACCCGAGTCGGTCACGACTGGACCTAATGGTCAGGGGTCCCTTTACCTTGCCAAGCCACTAGGTCTTGATCTGAGCTGGGCTGACACCAGTCTTATATAATTGCCTCATTGGTATTCCCTAGGCCCACCGAGGTGAGTTAAGTTGACACAAGGCAATGGATTCCCCACTAACTAATCTCTGTCTGACATTGGTCTATCTAGCTCAGTGAGCCCTACACGGGCTGGCAGCTGCACTCCAGGGTTTCTGGAAGTTAGTCTCACTCCCTCTCCCAGCCCTGCCTGGAGATTCTGGGGATCCAACCTTCTGCACGGGAAGGATGTGATCTACAAATTAGCTACAGCCACCTTGCAGGGCTGTTGTACAGATAAAACAAGGAGGGGAGAACCAGGTACACCATTTTGAGCTCTTTGGAGGAAAAGGAGGTATGTATATACAGTTGTACCTTGGAAGTCGAACGGAATCCCTTCCAGAAGTCCCTTCAGGAAGTTCCTGCAGCCAATCGGAAGCCGCGCCGGACGTTAGGCTTCCGAAAATTGTTCGAAAACCGGAACACTCCCTTCTGGGTTTTGATTGTTCGTGAGCCAATTTGTTTGGGAGCCAAGGCATTTGAGATCCGAGCTACGACTGTACATGTAACAAAAAGAAAACAAAATTGCCCTATTGATAAAGTAAGGCGCCAGTCCTCATCGTTGTGAAGAAAGGGCTGGTTAAGATAGGAACAGAGCAAGCTGCCAAACACTTGAGTCAGGTCATTAGCGCTGTCCACAATGACTGGGAGAGGCTCTCGGAAATTTCAGGCAGGATTCGCTCTCGTGCCTACCTGGAGATTCAGGGGGTTGAATCTAGGCCCTTCTGCATGCAAAACACGTGATTCACCACTGGGCTCTTTCCACTTCTCCACTTTGGTTAAGAGCATCAAAAGTGCTCTCAGCTGGATCCCATCATGGCACACTTAGTTCTACATTCCTAGCAAGAATACTGCCGCTGGGTGGTCGGTCAACGGTTTGCGAGCGACCTGGTTCGGTAGCCGTTCTTCCGAATTCTCACATCTCCGAATTTTGCAGTATGCCAAGGGACAAGTGCAGAAGGGTGTAGCCAAAGGCATCAACTTGCAAAAATGATATCCCATCGCTCTGCAGAAATGTGTGTGCATTGGGGACACGATTCCATCTCAAACCTATACCCAGCAGGAGAAATTCGCACGGAAACGCTGGTGCAATTTTCACAAGGCCTTTAAAGAAATACATTGCAAACTGATGTGGAGAATTGGACTTAAGACTGGAAAAAGGAGAACCTCGACGTGAGAGATTTTCCCTGTCCTAGCTAGGAAGGGAAGGGTCTGGCAGTTTAGCTTCCTTCAGTTTCTCGTTCCCTCTCCCCCCAAACTTAAATCCAGTTCTCCGAATTTCTGCAGAAATTTGCATTTTTAAAAAAATCTCATGAAAAATTCCCAAGTCTCGCTTCCTGCAGAGATCCAGACCCCACGTGCATTAAACTTAGAGGTATGTCCAAGTGGGTGGGTGGGTGGGAAGAAGTAAGGGCGATCTCACAGCAAAAGTGCAACTTTGCATGCCCTCTAACATTCTCCCAATGTCCCATTCCATGATAAGAATAAGAATATTCCTCCTGGGCATTGTCGGCCAATTGGTGCCAAAGAAGGATAGAACTTTTTTTATGTATGCAACAACAGCAGCAAGAAGACTGATCGCAAAGTATTGGAAGACTCAAGATCTACCCACCTTGGAAGAATGGCGGATGAAAGTGATTGACTACATGGAACTGGCAGAAATGACCGGCAGAATCCGAGACCAGGGAGAAGAGTCGGTGGAAGAAGATTGGAAGAAATTTAAAGATTATTTGCAGAAATACTGTAAAATTAATGAATGTTAAAATGATGTTGGATTGAAAGTAAGTGGTATTGGTAATAAGATTAATAAGAATATGCAAATACGGATTGATAATGGATGAAAATACATAGGTATAATAGGTTAAGATATTGAGTAAAGATAAATGAAAGAGGGTAAGGATTTGTTGAAATGATTTTTTAAACGGGAATACAAAAAGGGGAGGTGTGAGGAGGTCAAGGAAATAAGGAAATGAGCTTAAAGATATCGAAAATTGGATTTATCTCTAAATTTTGTTTTTCCCCCTCTTCTTTCTAGTTATTAGTATTTTCTTTGTATTTTGTATCTTTTTTTATTCTTCTCTTTTATGTGTGTTTTTTTAGTTTGTTAATTTATGTTTTAATTTCTTCTATTCTGTAAACTTATGTTTTTTGTAAACCTTATTCTGTAAACTTATGTTTTTTGTAAAACTTTAATAAATATTTCATTTAAAAAATATATTTATTTATAAGAGCATTTTGACAGAGGAATGGTCTCCTATAAGAGATGGTGGGCTCCCTTTCCTTGGAGGTCTTCAACCAGAGCTTGGCTGACGACCGGTCATGGATGATCTAGTCGAGATTCCTGCATTGACTGGGGTTGGGCTAGATGACCGTCGGGGTCCCTTCCAACTCTACAGTTCCATGATTCTATTATTTATATTCCCCTTTTCTCCAAAGAGATCAGGACGGACTATAGGCTTCTCTTCTTCCCCATTTTGTCCTCACAACAGCCCTGCGAAGTACCGTATTTTTCGCTCTATAAGACGCACTTTTCCCCTCCTAAGAAGTAAGGGGAAATGTGTGTGCGTCTTATGGAGCGAATGCAGGCGGGAGGCTCTGCTCAGCATTCCCTTTAAAGAGCCGCAGGGAGTGGGGGGGAAAGCCTCGGGGGAAAGCCCTCAAGAGCCACACACACACTCCACACGCTCTTTAAAGGGAGCGCGGCTCTTGGGGGAGCCTTTATCCCGTTGCCCTGAAGAGGCTTCGCGCGGCTATCCCAGAACCCAGATCCCTCTTGCTGTTCTGGCTTCTGGGACTCAGAATATTTCTTTTCTTGTTTTCCTCCTCCAAAAACTACTGTATTTTTCGCTCTATAAGACGCACTTTTCCCCCTCCAAAAATGAAGGGGAAATGTGTGCGCGTCTTATGGAGCGAATGCAGGCTGCTTGGCTTCAGCGATAGCAAAGCGAAGCCTCTGATGCGCAGAGGGAGAGCTCCCCCCGCGCTCCTTGGCTTCGCGTGGCTTTCGCTGAAGCCGCCTGAAGCCCCCCAGAGCGCAGCGGGAACTCCCACTGCGCTCCGGGGGCTTCAGGCCACTATCCCCAAGCCTTCGGAGCGCAGCAGGAGTTCCCGCTGCGCTCCGAAGGCTGCGGATAGCTGCCTGAAGCCTGGAGAGCAAGAGGGGTCGGTGCACACTGATCCCTCTTGCTCTCCTGGCTTCGCTTCGCTGGAGAGGCGCTGCACAGTTTCCCCTCTCTACGCAGCGCCCCTTCAGCGAAGCGGGAGGGGAAATGGAAGGGGCTCCATTTCTCCTGCCGCTTCACTGAAGGGGCGCTGAGCAGAGAGGGGGAGAATCCCCCCCCCGTTCTCCCCCACCTATGGTCCGGTGCGTCCTATGGTCTGGTGCATCCTATAGAGCGAAAAATACGGTGGGTGCGTCTTATGGTCTGGTGCGTCTTATGGAGCGAAGAATACGGTAGGTTAGGCGGAGAGATTGCAGTTGGCCCAAGGGCAGCCAAGCAACTTCATGGCCACAAGGAGGATTCGAACCCAGGTCTCTCCCAAGTCCTGCGCCGACCCTCCAGCCGCTACACCACACATGTCCTGCGCATGAACTGGGGAGGGATGCTGCTGGTGAGTGACACACCTCTGCTCTTCTTCTAGGAGCCAAGGGAGGAGAGGCCATGGCGGGCAACCTCTCTGAGCTGGAGGAGGCCCTCCTGACGCTGGTGAGGAACTACGACAAATACGCCGAGAAGTCCTTTTTCCTCAGATACTTTTTCGGGAAACAGGGCAAGATCAGCAAGGAGAATTTTGGGAAGATGCTCAACGAGGAGCTCAGCCACGTGCTGTCGGTGAGGCGAAGGGCAGTGGTGGTGGCGGCGGCTAGAGAACATGCTTCCTCATCTAACTAAGTATTTCCAGCACTGACTGGCAACAGCTTGCCAGGGTTTGAGGCAGAGAGATCTAGAAGTATTGCTGACAGCAAAGGACCCCAATATATTCCAAGATAATTTTTTAAAAGATTTGGAAATATGGGGGGTGGGGAGCGAAACTCTCTTTGTTGGGAAGAATTTCAGCCATGAAAATGAATGGATTACCAAAAATGTTGTTTTCATTTCAAACTGCACCAATTGTTAATAACACGGGCTGCTTTAAAGAATGGCAAAAATAAATCCCTAGATTTGTCTGGCAGGGGAAGAAACGGAGAATACAATATAAAATTTTGATAGATGCTAAAGGAAGAGGTGGCTTTCCCGACCAGACTTTCATTTATATTATGAAGCATCCTGTCTATGTTGGTTAAAAGAATGGATTGTGTTGGAAAACAGTTGTTGGACTTGGAGGGCTATGGTATTAAGTTTGGTTGGCATGCAGGTCTATAGTATGACAATGCTAGAATACATAAGAACATTTGAACCATGTTATTAGAAAGAATTTCCTTTTGGAAAGTAAAACACCTCTATGGCTTTCAGCTATAGAAGCAATCTTGTTGAAAAAAACTTAATATTTTGGACGTTTTGGACTTTACCAACCAAGAAGTAAAACTGAAGAAACTATGAGGAAGTCAGAAACTATGTGACGGGTTGAACGAAGTGTTTAAAGGCAACAAGGAAGACAGGTTTATGGACCAAAGTTCCCAGTTTGAGAGGGAACTAGTAGAAAATAGAGAAAAACTAATTTCTAGGATGTATAAGATACTGTTAGAATGGGAAACAAATGATGAAATGGTTAAATCTGCCATGATTCCATGGGCTAGAGGTGTGGATCACAACACAGATTTAGATCTATGGGAGAAGTTGTCGAAAACAGGTATGAAGTTTACGGCATGTTATGCTTTGAGAGAAAATTATATGAAAATGATTTATAGATGGTACTTCACCAAGTAAATTGGCTAAAATGTCTAAGTCAGAATGAGGAACATGTTGGAAATGTAAAGAAACAGAAGGTACATTTTATCATATGTGGTGGACTTGTGTGGGATATTGGGAGACGATATACAATGAGATAAAAATAGTAATTAAGAGATATCTCCCCCAAAAGACCAGAATCTTTTATTTTAGGGTTAACCGCATCAGATGTACCAAAGAGCAGTTGAAATGGATGGAATATGCAGAATAGGCAAGTTTTAACTAGTAAAATCAGAGAAAAATATGAAACAGCTTTCAAGGAGGATTGGAAAATGTTTGTAGATTGTTAAAAGAAAGATTGTAAACACGTTATCACACTAGCAGGTTTGGAGTAAGTTCAGTGGCAAAAGTTACAGTGGTGCCCCGCAGGACGAATGCCTCGCAAGACGGAAAACCCGCTAGACGAAAGGGTTTTCCGTTTGTGATGCACTTCGCAAGACAAATTTCCCTATGGGCTTGCTTCGCAAGATGAAAACGTCTTGCGAGTCTCGCCATTTCCCCCCCGCTTCCCTCCCCCCTTTTTCAAAGGCGCTAAGCCACTAATAGCCTTTTAGCAGCTTAGCCGCTAATCCTTTAATAGTCGCTAAGCTGCTAAATCGCTAATAGCGCCAATCCTCTTAGCTGCTAATGGGGTTGCTTCGCAAGACGAAAAAACCGCTAGACGAAGAGAATCGCGGAACGGATTCTTTTCGTCTTGCAAGGCACCACTGTACTTTGAGAATACAGTCGTACCTTGGTTTTGGAACAGCTTAGTTCCCGAACGTTTGGGCTCCCAGATGCCTCAAACCCGGAAGTCAGTGTTCCCGTTTGCAAACTATTTTCAGAAGCCGAACGTCCAGCATGGCTTCCGCAGCTTCTGATTGGCTGCAGGAGCTTCCTGCAGCCAATCAGAAGCCACGCTTTTGGTTTCCAAACGTTTTGGAAGTCGAACGGACTTCCGGAACGGATTCCGTTCCCCTTCCAGGGTACGACTGGAAGAAGTTATAATTATAATATACAGCAGCTGAAGATAACCAGGACAAAACCATGGGAGGGAGGGAGGAAAGTCAACTTTTAACAGTAAATGTATGCTGGAAAGTATTTGATTACAGTGGACGCTCGGGTTGCGGACGTGATCCGTGCGGGATGCATGTTCGCAACCCGCAGTGTTCACAACCTGCAGCAGCGCATCCGCGCACACGTGGGTTGCGATTTGGCGCTTCTGCGCATGCGCAACCTGAAGCGTTCCGGTACTTCCGGGCTTCGGCAGTCCGTAACCTGAAAGAACGCAACCTGAAGCGTCTGTAACCCGAGGTCTGACTGTAATTGTATTTTATTTGCGGCAGGGAGTGGGAGGTTTTCCAAACCCTTAGGCGTTAGGTCTTCCATTCCTGCCAGTGTGGTGTAGTGGTTAAGAGCGGTACAGTGGTGCCTCGCAAGACGAAAAGAATTCGTTCCGCGATTCTCTTCGTCTAGCGGTTTTTTCGTCTTGCGAAGCAACCCCATTAGCGGCTAAGAGGATTAGCGCTATTAGCGGTTTAGCGGCTTAGCGGCTATTAAAGGATTAGCGGCTAAGCTGCTAAAAGGCTATTAACTGCTTAGCGGCTTAGAAAAAGGGGGGGGAGCGGAAAAAAATGGCAAGACTCGCAAGACGTTTTCGTCTTGCGAAGCAAGCCCATAGGGAAATTCGTCTTGCGAAGCGCATCGCAAACTGAAAACCCTTTCGTCTAGCGGGTTTTCCGTCTTGCGACGCATTCGTCTTGCGGGGCACCACTGTAGTCTCATTGTCTAGGGAACCGGGTTCGCGTCTCCGCTCCTCCACATGCAGCTGCTGGGTGACCTTGGGCCAGTCACACTTCTTTCTCTCAGCCTCACTCACCTCACAGAGTCTCTCAGCCTCACTCACCTCACAGAGTGTTTGTTGTGGGGGGGGGAGGGAAAGGAGATTGTTAGCCGCTTTGAGACTCCTTAAAAGGGAGTGAAAGGCGGGATATCAAATCCAAACTCTTCATCTTCTTTTCTCACTAGTTCCGTTCCTTCTCCTTCCTGCTCCTTCCCTGTCACTCCCATCCAGAACACCGACAGCAAGACTGCTGCCCAAGAAATGTTTGCTGACATGGATTTAGACGAGGACGGGAAGATGAGCTTTGATGAATATTGGAGGCTGATCGGTGGCATCATCAACCAACTTTTGCACGTGAAGCAACAGGTTCAGGAGCGTGACGGATGATGGAGAATGGGAGCCTGCAGGATAGAACATGTCAGCTGCTGCCCACCCCACCCCACCCCAAGCCCCACCCTGCCCCATTCCTGCCTTAACTTTGCCATCGTTCCAGCTCCCCCTACTGGCCGGGCTGCACAGGACATTTCCCAATGCCAGATCTTCTGGAAGCCAAACTCTACGGAAGATCGGGAACATGGACCTGTCCATGGAAACTGCCTGTCCGCCTGTTCAATGCCTCTTGACGGCTGCACTCGGGACGCCGTGTCTAGGAGGGTGGTGGGCAGTTGGAGGGAGGGGCTGGCCACACCTCAGGGAGTTGCAGCTAGACTGTCAGACTGTGACAATAAAGACTGGATTCTGAGTGTCAGAGTCATGTGACTTCTTCTCTGATCAGCTCAGAGTTAAGCTCGATGTCCGAGGGTTAGAGGAGAAGGAGGCCATGCACAGCCTCCATGGTCAGAGGCATCAAAGTTTCTGAATACCAGTTGCTGGAAACCTCAGGAGGAGAGTGGGCCCTTGAGCTTGGATCCTGATCGCCACTCTCCTCCCACAGGCAAATGGTTGGCCCCCGTGAGAAGAGAATGGTGGCCTGATCCAGCAGCCTCTTCTTATGTTCTTATCCTCTTTTAAGGTCATCCACTGCTGCCTCTTGTGGCAGTGAGTTCCATAGTTCAGGCACTTAAAAAAACCAAAACCATTTACAGTGGTACCTCGGGTTACAGACACTTCAAGTTACAGACGCTTCAGGCTACAGACTCCGCTAACCCAGAAATAGTACCTCGGGTTAAGAACTTTGCTTCAGGATGAGAACAGAAATTGTGCTCTGGCGGCGCGGCGGCAGCTGGAGGCCCCATTAGCTAAAGTGGTGCCTCAGTTTAAGAACAGTTTCAGGTTAAGAACAGACCTCCGGAACGAATTAAGTACTTAACTTAAGTACCGAGGTACCACTGTATTACAACAGAGCCTTGCGCATGAAAATCCAAGTTGGTGTATTGGTTCGCTTTGTTAAAAGCAGCGCCAACTGCTGGAGTTTCCTATTCCTTCAGAAGCAGTACATTCCCTAACATTGTGGCCTGCACAGGGCAGGATGGAAGAGACTCTCTCTCCAACCTTCTGAACGTACTCTCCTTGGGCTAGCCGACCTGATAACTTGCATGTACAGTGGTTCCTCAGTTTAAGAACAGCCGTGTTTACAAACGATTCGGTTTACAAACTCCGCAAAACCAGAAGTAGTGTCACGGTTTGAGAACTTTACCTCGGTCTAAGAACGGAATCTGAATGGTGGAAGGGCACCGGCGGTGGGAGACCTCTTTAGGGAAAGCGTGCCTCGGTTTAAGAATGGTTTTGGTTTAAGAACGGACTTGCGGAACAGATTAAGTTCGTAAACTGAGGTACCACTGTACAAGCAACGAAAGAAAGAAAGAAAGAAAGAAAGAAAGAAAGAAAGAAAGAAAGAAAGAAAGAAAGAAGGAAAGAAAGCATCTTTCTTTCTGGTCACTGCAGGCATGTTCTGCGTTCCAGGACCTTTTTCCGGTTGCAATTCAGTCCCAGTGCAGAACTGAAGCATCTGTTGCCCTATGCCTCCTCTAGCAGGGCCTGCCTCTCATAGGAGGGTCCACAGCTGTTTGATGCTCTCAGGATTTGTGCCTTGCTGCTAGCAAACATCTTAGAGCTAAGCCCCAGGGGTGGACATGCCACAGAAAAAAGATCACCTTCTCATGAGGCCCTTTTCTTTTATCTGTGTCTAATCTTCCAACAATGGGACGCAGGTGGCGCTGTGGGTTAAACCACAGAGCCTAGGACTTGCTGATCAGAAGGTCGGCGGTTCGAATCCCCGCAACGGGATGAGCTCCCGTTGCTCAGTCCCCGCTCCTGCCAACCTAGCAGTTCAAAAGCACCTCAAAGTGCAAGTAGATAAATAGGTACCACTCCGGCGGGAAGGTAAACGGCGTTTCCGCGCGCTGCTCTGGTTCGCCAGAAGCAGCTTAGTCATGCTGGCCACATGACCCGGAAGCTGTACGCCAGCTCCCTCGGCCAATAAAGCGAGATGAGTGCTGCAACCCCAGAGTCGGCCACAACTGGACCTAATGGCCAGGGGTCCCTTTACCTTTTTAATCTTCCAACACCTTCACTGGACTTCCACACGTTTTAGTGTTAAGCGAGAGGGAGAAAAACATATTTTCTCTATCCGCTTCCCCCATGACGTACATAATGGAATTGATCTGCAGCGCTAAATGTTTAGGTATAGTAAATATTAGGATTTAATTAGAACTCGTGTGTTATAACTGGAATATGTTCTAAGACAGTTTCAATGTGTCTTAGAAAGGGGGTTATGCAAGGGGGCTGAGGTGTTTAATTGGTGTTTATATGTAAAGACTGTGAGAATGTAATCCAGATCCACTGCGTGGACCTACTTCTGAGCAACATCAATGAGCATGTAAACAGTTACTGTTATCCTACTGCACTCTGAAGGCTTGCGGATAGCTGCCTGAAGCCTCCGTAGTGCAGCGGGAGTTCCCAATGCGCTCCGGGGGCTTCAGACTGCTTCAGCGAAAGCAACGCGAAGCCTCCAGAGCGTGGGGGGAGCGCTCCCTCTGCACTTCGGAGGCTTCGCGTTGCTATCGCTGAAGCCAAGGAGCCTGCATTCGCTCCATAAGACGCACACACATTTCCCTTAATTTTTGAAGGGGAAAAGGTGCGTCTTATAGAGCGAAAAATGCGGTAATTAACCTAGGTAAATGTCCTAAATTTGTACCATTCTTTAATCCTAGTCTTAATCCTTAATCTTTAATCAACAAGGGTTGCGTAGTGATTTCAGGCTCTTTATTGCAGCTCGTAAAACAGTGAATGAAATTCCCCCCCAAACCTCATGATTTATACAATGAGTCCCGTCTGATTGGCTGATTCTGCTTCCCTCCTGGAGCCTGATTGGGCTGCTCCTGCAGGCCAATCAGTTGCTGCATTCTAGGATTCTGCCGGCCTAATAGGCTGATTAACTTCCTCCTGCAGGCCAATCAGGTTGTTGCATTCTAGGATCCTACCTGCCTATTCTTCAACTTTCCAAGCTTAGTACATAATATCAGGTTAGCTAATACCTGGGGGGATTAAATTAGTACTTAAAAGCATCCAAAGAATGGACCTTTAAATGAAACGGAATAAAGGAGATTAGGAGATGTCTTGGACTGAAGTGCTACACTACTGTGAGGAACAAACCCCTCTTGAGATGACCATGCTGTAAGATCTGGACCCCCTCCGTGCAGACTGGAGGTGTAAATCTGTGAATAAACCGTATTTCTTAAAGCCACAACAGTCTCCGCTGTGTCTCACTTTCCCATTGTTCAGCCCAGGCACTGAGGTCCAGCTCCGAGGACGTTCTGGTGGTTCCCACACTGCAAGAAGTGAAGCTACAGGGAACCAGGCAGAGGGCCTTCTTGGTAGTGGCACCCTCCCATCAGATGTCCAGTAAATAAACAACTACCTGATTTTTAGAAGACACCTGAAGGCAGCCCTGTTTAGTGAAGTTTTTAATGTTTGGCGTTTTATTGTGTTTTTAATATTCTGTTGGGAGCTGCCCAGAGTGGCTGGGGAAACCCAGGCAGATGGGAGGGGTATAAATAATATATTATTATTATTATTATTATTATTATTATTATTATTATTATTATTACACAGACCCTATGTGTGTGCCCAGAACCCCATGGGGTCTTGCGGCAGAGAGAGGGACAGGCACCCGACTGTTGTAACAATAATTTTTATATACAGTGGTACTTTGGGTTACATACGCTTCAGGTTACACACTCCACTAAGCCACAAATAGTGCTTCAGGTTAAGAACAGAAATCGGGCTCCGGCGGCGTGGCGGAAGCAGGAGGCCCAATTAGCTAAAGTGGTGCTTCAGGTTAAGTACAGTTTCAGGTTAAGTACGGAACGAATTAAGTACTTAACCCGAGGTACCACTGTACTTCTGTCATGCCACCTCTTGCTCATCATTTCTAAGAAGTCTCAAAAGGTCAACAGCATCTGGGGAGGGACACAGGTTCCCCACCCCACATCTGGAACCTTTTTTCCACACAATTGCTAACTAATAGATGGACAAAACTGTGACTCTCCTGGTGCTGTTTGACTCCCATCTGACCCATCAGCCAGGATGGCCTGTGACTGGGGATGTGGCCCCACAACACCTGAAGGGCCATCCCTTTCCTAAGCCCTGTTAAGAGAGCCGGAATGACGAGCTTTCCAGAACGACGGCCGCATTGAACAGAAATGCATGTTCATGCGCTTCTGCGTCCTGAGCACCAGAGGGCAGCAGAGGGAGCTGGCAAAAAAACACAGGGCCTCCCCTGTGGAATGTGCAACACACACACACACACACAACACACAAACACACAACTCCTGCAGTGGGCGATGGTCAACACAAGGTGGTAGCACAGGCCAACTGATCGCTCCCTCTGTGATGCTCATTCCAAAGTCGGTTCTGAAATGGCTTCCAGCATTGGAACAACTCTTAAAATGAGAGCTAGACGCTCGCACTCCTTCAAATTCGTTTGTTTGTTTGCTTCTTTATTTATTTATAAAATTTCTATGCCATCCTTCATGCGAGGATCACAGGGTGTGGTTTGCAGTATTAAAAAACAAAAACAAATAATAGGCGAAGGATTTATACGATCTGAAGAGAAACCAGAGTACAACAAAGCGAACTGGACTCCTTGGCTGGTTTTGAATAAACATTCACAAACTTTGTATTGATAATAATCAGTAGATAGTTTGAGGATCTATACAACTGTGTAACATGCAGAAAACAGCATTTTTAGAGAAATCAAAGACTGGAACTGAGGGAAGTCGGGGGTGGGGGTGGGTGGGTTCTGTGGGGGGAGGGAGGAAAAATGGGGGGGGGAATAAGGATGATATGTTTCTGGATAATATGTTTTGTTTTAATTTTGAATGAAAAGCTATTAAAAAATTAAAAAGAAACAAATAATAATAAACTGCATAAAAACAAACAAAACAAGAACTCCGCCGACGCAGTTTTAACAAGCTATATAGATTGTTTAATTACCAAAGGCTGGGAGAAGAGAAACGTTTTCTCCTGGTGTGCTCTCTGTTACATGCTCAGAGGCTTCCCTGTCACCTCCTGAGCTAAGCAGGGATTTGAACTCGACTCCCAGAGGTGATGTTGAGGAGCTGTAAAAAGCCCCCAATCTTTCTCTCTACATCTTGGGCAATTGGGACAACCCGATTCCCTCTAGCTATACTACAGTTCCCATCAGCCAGTGCCAGTCCCAAGACTCGGCGCATCGTAATACAGTGGTACTACTTAATTCGTTCCGGAGGTCTGTACTTAACCTGAAACTGTTCTTAACCTGAAGCA